GACTTATATTATATTTTATGCGTGGCATCAAAATAAGAACTTCGCAGTGTTTACTGACCAATACAAAACGCATTCCTCGCTCTCTACAAAAAAAAAAAAAACAGTCGGCCCAAATATCACAAAAAAAACTGTTGAGTTTGCCGGCAGGATTCCTATACCGCATTCAAAAATTGTTACTATTAGAAACTTTGTACAGACATGAAAATAGACCTAGGTCTAATAAATGAACCATACCGAGTCCCAGTCGCTTACAAACCAAATCAAGGGGAGCTACTACATGTATATTTACGAGAACATGCAATGGAAGTCACTAGTGGTTACCTGTTGTGGAGCTGAGTTTGAGCTAGCGTTTCCATCTTTGTCTCTCGTCTTGAGACAGACTCGTTTCCCCCCATTAAATTAGTGACAGGCCATGCAACAGTTTTAATACTGTTCAATCGTATAAAAAATAATAATAGAAAATATTCAAATTGGGAATATTTTATCATTATTTGTCAACTATCTACAGTGGCGGATCCAGAGGCAAAGTTGGGAGGGTGAGGTTCCAAAAGTATTGATGCGAGACTTTTGCCGAGCAAAGCGAGGGAGTCTGNGGGGGGGGGGGGGGGGGGGGGGGGGGGGGGGGGGGGGGGGGGGATGCCCCCTCCCCCCGGATATTTTATTTATTCCTAGGTGTGAAATGGTGCATTCTGGCCACTGAAAAGCTGCCTTCACATCTTATTAAATTTGTCTGTTTTATATGAATTTTGCATCAAAATTGACAGTACCAAAATTCCGGAAGTTTATACAAAGATGCTACAGTAATAAAAAAATGTATGTATGTAATTAATGCTTATTGTAAGACTTTGTATAGCTTTAGTATGCTTCAAGTTCTTAGTGGCCTCACATCAATTGTACATAGAATCATCAAATAAAAACCAAACTAGTAAGTGACATTCAGAATGTATTAATAAATCAAGGATGAATTCTAAAATGAAGAAAATGTACACATCATTCTTTCACTCACACACACAAAACAATAAGCATTTCAACAAAACCTCAATAAATATTCTACACAAAACAATGAATATTTCAACAAGACCTCAATAAATACTCTACACAGGTGACCTAGGTGAGCAATACAAGCCCTCCAGCCTCTTGTTTTGGCATACATATTTAATTGTTCAACATTTATTTAAAAGACAAATTTGAATTACTCCTGACCCAATTTAAGACCTTTATTTGAATTTACATAATTGCAAATTTCATTCAATGATTTTAGGGCTTTTGTGGTTATCGATCGATCTGAACAAAACCCTTTCGGTCAGTCGTGCCTCATTAGTGTACATTGTATTTGGTCATTGACGTGGTCGCTGAGTTACCGTTGTAAAAACAATCGATGCTTGTGTTTGTGTATACGTATGGGTCAGCTTGTGTCCATAAAACAATATCTTTATACTTTATAGCAAGTTTCAAGTTTTCGTCTTTAGTGCCGTGTGTTGTTTATGTATGTCCACTAGATTGTGTTAAACTGCTCAACATTAGCTGGTTGTTAAAGTTAATGTAGAGGATTAAATCAAACATCCACTTGCGGTTTTCTACAGCATTTTCAATTTCAATTTCTTTATTTCCAAATGCAACAGATAGCATATAGGAGTTACAATATAGATTTGTGAATACAAGTAAATATTACAATCCATTTATGTAAGATGTCGGAGAACATAGAGTAAAATACAAAATGACATCATAGCAATGTTGTCAACATACAAAGAAAATATTTAATCATTGTCAGTGGCACAAAGCTTGAATATAGACTTTCTTTTAGAAGTGGCCTGAATAAGACACTTACTAATTAAGGTTTCTCAATTGTTTTACATTTTTGCCGGCGAATAATTGTAATTCTTTATAGACGGAAGGAAGACGGAATTAATAGGGTTTAATATATTTGGTTCTAAGCTCCGAGTAAACTGAACACAACAAAATAAAATAGGTTTCATCCTCGACGTCATTTCTACTGCAAAGCAGACACCGCCGTTGAGCTCTAGGTATACCATTAGACCTGCCTGTTTCTATACTTAGTGTATGAGATTGTAACCTATACTTACTGAGGATATTTTTACACTTATAAGTTAGTGACTTGGTGAGGTAGGACTGCATATCGTAATGATCTACGATATATTTATACATCTGGAGGAGTTTTCTAACATGCTTCTCACTTCTTGGATAAAATTATCTTGCACACGTTGGGTGTATAAAAATACGAAATGTTTTTCATTAGAAACACACTGAGTCAACCAACCATCATGAAAGCCAATTCTACTTAATTCATGCTAGTTTGACAATTTTATTTTTTTAAGATTTAATTCGATAAGTTCATCGTGACAAGATCTCAAAATACAATTGTCAGTTTTCAATCATTTTAACCAGTACTTTATAATGGATATTTTACACTTTATCTTTAAAGGAAATCAACCTCACTCAAAGTAAACCATAGAATTATTTACAGACTTTTTAACTCCAAGAAATGCAAATTAATTTTTTCAATTTGTGTTGCAGGATAGAATCCCCAGACTTCACAAGCATAGTTAAGTAAACAAATGATATAAGTGTCGAATAATGACAACTTAGTTTCACAGTTTAACATAAAATTCCTAAAATTCCTTTTCAATAAAAAACAAGCTTTTCTACCCTTGCCAGCAATGTTATCCAATGCTAAAGTAAAGCTGCCATTATAATTGAATACTAGCCTCAGGTAACAAAAATTGTCTACTATTTCAATAGGCCTACCATTGTATGTCCATTGCTCGTTAGGGAAAACACGTTTTTTTCTTCTTCTGAATATTGCTACTTTTGTTTTATCCACATTTACCTTTAAATTCCAGCGTTCAACATAGGAATGCAAGTGGTCAAGCATATTTTGCAGATCGATTACGTCCTCGGAAAACAAAACCGTGTCGTCCGCATACAGTATAATACAAATATTGATCAACTGTAACTGATAACAGCATAACCCCCCAACCCCTTCAGTTAAACATTTAGAAAGGAACCCGGAGACATACATGGAGTTCCTTTTACTGTTATCTTTTCATACCTAATATAGGACAGTCCATACTGTAACTGTGGAAAACAATCAATGTCAAATGTATACAAGTGCCGCAGCTTACCATGGAACTTGATATCTTTTAAAAGTGTGAAAAAGATCATCAAATTCAGCAATAGATATTCATTTAAAATTGTATCGAATTTCAAACTTGCCTGTTTCCACTATTATCATTAATATGAATGAATGTAGGGGGAAGGCGTTGATAAGTTGATATAACTTGCGCCCAATCCTTTGCTCTTCTTGTTTGAACCAAACTGTACATACATTTGTATATATGTAAGTGTATCCGATTACAACTTTAAATACATTGAACATTAAAATAATTTGGTTACACAAAAACTGCTTTCTGTGGAACTTAATTTAAATACTTTAAGACACAGGCCCTGCATCAAATCTAGTTAATTATGATGATTATTATATAATTAACATTTATAATATAATACAATGTATAATTTAATATCAGTATGCATGATATAAATGTAACATGGAAGAAGGGTGTGATACGCTGAAATGATTTGTAGTACGTTGTCCATAAGATATAGTATGTGTAAGTATGTTTCAACTAAAAGGATAACGAGATTTGTATTGATTTCTATTTTCAGGAAAAAAGGTATGTGAATATTTAAGTAATAATTGACTCGATTTTGAATCACGATAGCAAATAAAAACTGATAATTCAGGTATGAAGCCTCCCAGAATCTGTAGAAAGTTCCTGACGNCCCCCCCCGATATGTTTAGCAATCAACGAGCTCCTTCTTATGATATTTGAACAAACCTTTCGTTTTCGAGTGCTAAACACATTCCACTGTAATGCTAAGTTTGGTCCACTGGCATGCGCTCTATTATGTCTAGTAGACAAACTAACCGAAAACTTACAAAATCGACTGATTTTTCAATTTATGCAAATTTCAACTACATGTAGTTACTATGGTAACCGTGGTTGAACATATAAATCAGTATTATCTCATTAATATCGGTAAATTATGTAAAAAAATAGAGAGATCTAAAAGCTTGATTAAATGTTTAGAACTTCGATGGATTTTGAGACAAGGTCCAAACCATACCGTCATTTACACCCGACCAACCCGATTTAAGGTCTATACGTGTACAAATCAATCTAAAATTTGAAAACAAATTTTTGTATGATATTAGGGTCTAGATGAAAGAAATGGTTTCTGGACTTATCAAACATAGTAATGTTTTGTTTATGACCTAACAGATACCAAGTTTTTGATGGTGAAAAAACAGGATTTGGTCCTACTACCCAGGTACTTAGTTTTTGTTAAAAAAAGTAATTCATCTCATTTGTTAAAAACACGATGATAAAATGGTATAAAAATGGAACAAATCGATTGTTTCTAAGGTACAATTCAACGTTGTTCTTATATCAAAATTTAATTTGTTCGTCAAAACACTTTCTGACACTAAACATGTATGTATCTGTCATTTTTACTTATTATATATTTTTACTTATTATATATTCCCATATAGATAATGATTCAAAATTAAATCTAAAACTTCCTCATAATTACACAGTATTACGTTGACACAAAAAGGATTTAGATAATCCTATTGTAATTTTTGTTACCTATCTGCTAAAATTGGGCCGATTGTCTCGCAAGTTAGCGCTCGTGCGGTCCGTGGGACGGAAGTCGCTCAGTGACGTCACCGACTTGCTCAAAGAGACCATGCGACCGACATGACGGGATCAGATCTGATGTGAGTAACTCACGTCCATGGTTTTACCTATTATAGTGCTATGAACTTGTGGTTTTATATCATTTTTATATTTTCTTATGGTGGATTTACATCGTACGTGGAACTAGTGTGTTGTTTTATATCCAAAACAAACTTTTATATAAACATCGGAACTACAGGTAACGTGTGTTTGTGAACTTTTTTTTATAAAGTTTACAAGATGTCGGACATGTCATATTCCCATATGGATTACAAAGTGTTTCCAGGCGGCTATTATCGTGATCTTCCATCGTTTCAGCAACATACATCAACCCCAACCATCCCGCATGTGCCCGGGGGTATCGGCGACATCCCGACCCCCGCGGATCTCAGTTTGTTAAATGATTTTTATCAGAAGACTGATATGTACAATATGAATATGAACACTAAACCTCCTGGACCCGGGGATTCATCTCCAGATAGCGGACACGGTGGGGACGTTAAAAACGACACAGCATTGTGCGAGAGTGGGGAGGAGGAGGGAGTGGACATTGACAGTGGTATAATCGACCAGACTCCCCCCGCCCGTCGGTACCAAAGCGACGAGGAAAATAACGAGATCAAACCGACGGGACACCGGAAACGGAAACGACCAATTCCCAAAGGTAAACCACCGTACAGTTACATTGCTCTTATTAGTATGGCCATCTGTAACAACACAGAGCGGAAGCTTACCCTCAATGACATTTACAAGTTTATCACTGACAAATTCCCTTACTTCCGGGACCATCCTAACCAAAAGGGCTGGAAAGGGTCAATACGTCACAATTTGGCACTCAATGACTGTTTTGTGAAGCTACCCCGTCGCCCCGGGATGAAGGGACACGAGTGGGCCATAGATGCGGAATATGAGGACATGTTCGATCACGGCAGTTTTCTGAGGAGGAGATACCGTTTTAAGGATGGCGTGCGTAAAAAGGCCCGCCATTCATCGGCACCAAGTTCGATAGGGTCCCCAGATGTGTTTTTACAGCCCCAGCGCCATCACGTTGGTCTCGGCTGCCTTGAAAACAAAATGGCACAACTACATCCTACCAACAACACGTTTGGGAATTCGTTTGATCTCCAACATGACTATGCTACTTCCGTTGAGGAGAGATCCGCTAATAATGGCCTATGGAATCCGTTTGTGAATGACAACGCGCAGACGACACCATTGGCGCATCCTGCCAAAAGTCCCCCGTCGTATGACGCCGCGTGCGCTACGTCTCCGCCATCTCAAATGACGTCACCATGTAGTGAGAGTCATACTCCGACAGATGCCACCAGTAGGTACCAGGCTTACATGAACGGTGTAACTGGATTCTGGAATCCTAGCGGCGTTCACCATTCACAGGCCTTACAGATTCCGAATTTCAACATGGCACATCCTTCTGGAATTAAAAGTGAGTGTTTAAGCCCTCTAGGCAACGCGACGAACATGTGGAATTCGCCATATTTGGACCCGGGGTTTGCGTTTAAATCTCAACCGTACCCATTCCAGGGACTCGTGAGCCCGGCTTCACAGGACAAGAACTTCCAGATGGCCCGTGCCCCGGGGCCTGGACTCCTACCCCCGTGGTCGATGTCTACCCCTCAGCAGTGATGCAATGCGGTGTTGGATTGGACGGACGAGACCGGATGCGACAGAACATTCGATACTTATATAACTATGAAGCAAACATGTCGGTGAAATTTTAATGTTTTATATTTAAGTTAATAAATGATAAGACTCTTAAACTTCTTTTGCAGGTTGTACAAATGACGTTTTGAGGTACTTTTTCCTGCACAAAACGGTGCTAATTTTCTTTGTATTTTATATGATATTTTAAATCTTCTTTAACCTTTTTAATCATCACTCAACAACGAGAGTTTTATGTACATATATGCAAAATACACGAATAGTAAAGTGGATATAAAGCAAAGAATAAAATGACTGTTTATTTTTGCAAATATGACTGTTTTGTTTTCATTTCAAATATTTATTACGATTTGTCTGGCCGATCTTTGTTAAGTTTATATTCGATGGTTCTGTCTTATTGGTGAATATATATTGGTAACAGAAGTTAATGTAAGTTAAGCATTAAAAAAAAATTGAGAAGAAAAAGATAGGAAAACGCCAGCCCCTTGGTAGTGGGGATTCAAAACTGTACAAATGATAGGGCTGACCCCCAAGGGGGCTGAGGGGCGGGGCCAACATCTTTAAAAAAAAGAGCATAAAATTCCCATTTAAAACCTTGGTGTTGAACTTACCAGAAATCGGACACACATGACGTAGGCTATTGACTAGGGACGGTTGGACCATTGTTGTTCGTTTTTGAAATAAGGTCGGACCTAGTAATCTGATGCTGTTTTCAAGCGAGCTTTGACAAAGCCTTGAAATGCCTGTATTTACATTTGCAGGTTCGCCAGTAATTATACATGAAAATGTTAAGTTAAAAACAGACGAACCGATTGTTCCGCATAAACGAACAGGATCCAGGTCCTCGCACAGCACCACATGTTTGCGTGGATGAATCAGTTGGCTACGTCATCACACGGCTTCTGTACTTTGACCGCGCGTGACGTCACATTATGAGCAACAGACGCCTGTGACAGGAACGTGAGAATCTTTCCTAATTTTCGGCAATATTTCATCATTAGACCCCTAAACCCTCTAACAATACAATACAATCGGACTGACAAAAATAGTTCAATCGTGATACAAAAAATAAAAACTTTGTTTTAAAACAATTTTACCCAAATAGTTTTTAGCATTTTCTATCGACCACTCTTGATGCACAGGGCGTATTAACATTAGTTTGAGGAAAACGGAGGACCAAGAGAAAACCCGCGTGGTCGAAACTAGCACCAGGTTTGGGTTTTTTATGGTAAAAGAAAAAAGGCACTTCGGTATGAAATAAATAATTAGTTTATTTTTAAGATCTAAAATACTCGACTCCTTTGGCCATTATATATGGTTATCATAATTTACCTGCCTCTTACAGCGTAATCCATTGGATACTATAATTTATATTGCTCCTATGGAACCTTTAATTGGTAATTAGTTTCAAACAAAGTTTGGGGGATTTAATTTGGTTCCATTAAAGAACAATAAATTGATAATTTTGATATCATATTTTTGATTTATTTCCATAATTTTTGTTATATGTAAACAGAGACAACTGTCATTGTGTAAATGTCATCCCTCTGCAAAAAGTTTCGATTTTTTTTCAAGGAAGATAACTCTCACCCGGATCAAAGTGTAAAATGTAAAATAAATTAATTATAAAGCCATTGTGTATATTTTGTTCAATTTCCCATTCTATATGTATAGATCTTTGTGTCCTGTTTGCTTTTAGCTTGTAGATAATCACTTTTATCCGTACAAATTCACTAAAAAATACACTTTGTGTAACATGTGTTACATATTTTGCGATAAATAAAATATGTGTAGTGTTAATTAGAAATGCTTCTTTTCATTTTATTTTTGTTGTTATTGTTCCGAACAATGCCACACACACAAAAATCGGAAAATATTAAAATTGACGAAAATTTAATCTTTTGGTATTTTTTCCAAAAAAGTCCCCAAACTATCGGAATGTTTAGATTTTCATAAAATCAACTCTACATAGTTACATAACCATTATATGAAAGTTTCAACGAATTTTGCTGGTTAATTGCGAAAGTGTGGAGCCACCTTAACGCGATGACTGTAATTTTGCGATTGTGAGCTTTCATTTACTCCGTAGTAATATAACATACTAGCCTCACCCACATATTCCAGAGCCTGTTATCAAGATTTTCTTTAGAGATGCTCACTGTTGACAAATAAGTCTTACGAGACTGCAATCAGCACTTAAGAAATGATAGCTATTCAGATCTTGTTTCACACTGTGGGGTTTATGTATTTGTTATCATTAATATCATGTTCAATTTGTTTTAAGTGTTAACTTATATTGCCCGATGTGTCGGGAGACATAATGTTCTCGTCTTCGGTCTATGATTTTTCCTTTTTAATTTTTCTGTGTTTGTCTCCAGCAAACTCATTTAATATTACATAATAATTGGTCAGTTGTTTTTCATCTTTATTTTGCAGGTTAGTATTAAATTGTTTTACCGTAGTCAGTGTATTCAACGCCACCGATACACCTATCCATGAACACCTGTCTGTATACGTATCCTGTATGTTCCACCATGTATTATTGCCACCCATTTGTATATATGTATTCTCTACACTATATTGTTTATGAGAATAAAACAATTGACATTGTCATTGGTTGAGCTATAGCAAGTTGTACTGAATGAAATGCGCGTGAAAGTAGTTTACTGTGTGGGTAGCTTATGTCTCGTACTCTTCTATCAACACAAAACAATGTTTCTTAATGGTATTTGTATTCCAATATATATGATTTTAAATGTTGAGCAAATTAATAAGAATTTTCATAGTGCATAGCTCCCTACGGATAAACGTATAAACTTATGCGTAAACTTATCATATACTTTAGAGGCTTATTTTCGAAGAATGCGCATCCAAGATGTCTGCCGCGGTCTCTGATTGGCTAAGACATGTTTGTCTATAACTGTTGTTATTTAATACGGATTTAATGAAAGTTGATGAAAGGAATGCTTATGCAATTATCTTTCAAATGTAAAAAAACAATACTGACATTTTTAAATGGCACCACATGCTCATTTTACTCATCTCAGATTTGTCGAAAACTACATGTGCTCAGAACGTAACGAAAAGTTAACGTACATATTCATTGGGAAATATCACTTCAGTAGTTGGTCTTCTTTTTTCCCGTTCGCATATCCAACATTGCCGCGGCAGCCTTTCATTGGATGAAATTTAGATTTGGTTTCATTTCCTTCAAATTTGGTATTGCACCACGAAATCTACTGTGACTCCCGATTACATCATTTACGACAGCAGCCAGTGATAATCTGGAGGACTCTAACGTCTGCCATACATTTAGTACTTATAATGATATACCTGCCCCAGGTAGGGACAAACACAAAACGGAACATAGTCTTGAGTTTACAAAATTGTCTCTTTCACACTTAAGCCAATCATACCTCTATACGTTTCTGTTGTAATTGACATTGTTTTAAATAAAGAACAGGACTGTTCAGGACATTAATTTAACAATTTTAATCCATAATTTTAAAAAGACTATATTCCGCGGAAATACATCATGAACTATCGTAAGCTGTACAGATACGTTAAAATACCAAACGAACGTTCCATATATGTGAGTTGGAATTTGAAATATCACGGAAAGACTTTCAATATACATGTAGTACCAATTAGGAACGCCGTCACGTTAGACGTAATTGCTGACTGAAGCTGTAACATTTGACCCCGTGGCCGAGTGATGCCGTCACAATCTATAACCCCAAGGCCGCCTGGAGCTGTCACACTCTATATTTGGGCCTCAACTAAGGTGTTCAGATTAATTTTACATGTTAAGGGGTTTAGATCGACTTTTTTGCATTAAAAACCACATTTCTAGTTAACGAACGAAAAAATGCTTAGAACCGTTGGAAAGATGGATAATGTTTCTTTTAAAAAACACACTCCTATATGCACGTAAAATGTATTCTCCTTCCGCGGACATGATCTCCGTCCCAAAAAAAATACACGTCATTTCCGAGTTTCAAAGTTTTCCGCAGTCATAAAGTCACTTTTTGTATATTGATAAGGATGACGTCAGCCTCGTGCCGAGATTGGTTGGTCGTGAAGCCATTCCCCTACTAAAATAACCAGTCAACCATCACACCATGATTCGGCACGAGGCTGACGTCAACCTCAGCCTCATCAATATACAAAAAAGAATCTCGAGGACTGCGAAAGTCGATGCAAACACCTAAACATGACGTTACGGCCGACTGGAGCTGTCACACTCTAGACCTCACGGCCGACTGGAGCTGTCACACTCTAGACCTCACGGCCGACTGGAGCTGTCAAACGTTCTAGACCTAACGACCGACTGGAGCTGTCACACTCTAGACCTAACGACCGACTGGAGCTGTCACACTCTTTAGACCTCACGGCCGACTGGAGCTGTCACACACTCTAGACCTCACGGCCGACTGAAGCTGTCACACTTTCTATATCTTATGACCGACTGAAGCTGTCACAATCTTTAGACCTCACGGCCGACTGGAGCTGTCACACTCTACAGACCTAACGCCGACTGGAGCTATCACACTCTTAAGACCTCACGACCGACTAGGGATGTCACGCGCTCTAGACCTCACGACCGACTGAAAAGGTCACGCGCTCTAGACCTCACGACCGACTGGAGTTATCACACTCTCTAGGCCCCACGATCGACTGAAGCTGTCACACTCTAAACCTCACGCTCGACTGAAGCTGTCAAACGCTCTAGAACTCGCGGCCGACTGGAGCTGTCACAATCTTTAGACCTCACGGCCGACTGGAGCTGTCACACTCTACAGACCTCACGGCTGATTGGATCTGTCACACACTCTAGACCTAACGACCGACTGGAGCTGTCACACTCTCTAGACCTCACGGCCGACTGGAGCTGTCACACTCTACAGACATAACGCCGACTGGAGCTGTCACACTCTTAAGACCTCACGACCGACTAGGGATGT